AACTTCACAAGCATAACATATAAAACTTACTCTATGAACTTGCTAAACTTAATACGCTCAATGCATTAGAACTTATCTAAGTTATGGGTAAGTAGATAACTTCTTTGCGTCAACATTGAAGCGTTTGCATCCTGAATTTATGTAGTAGTTTCAAAACTAATTTGCATTAAAACCGACAATTCAAAAGGTAGTTATCTATCCATTATCAATTTGGTAACAATTAAGCTGGATCATGGGATAGACGATTCTAAGCTGCACCTCGTTTCAATAGAACCTTATCGATAGGAGGTCAAATTGTACAATAGGGACGGAACTTTTCTGTTACCCGTAATTATGATTTATTTATGTTAGCTATGTGGACTGTATACTATATGCTGCGGCTCAAAACACAAATCATTAAAGATGGTAAAAAAAATAAGAAGTCTGAAATGGAACCGGACGCGTCAGTCGCATGTCAAGCGACCTGTAGAGAAAGACTACTTCCCAGTTCTTCCAAAGATCCCACTTAACGCAATCCGAAGACGTGGAAAACCCAGAAGGAGATGGCGTGACAAGTCACTGATATGAGATCTTGGCCTATAATGGCGTTAATTTACATACACAAAGTCTGAAGAATGAATGAATGTGTGTATTCTAGAACTCTCGAAATGTTCAATTTTAGAACGCGTACGGGGTGATGCATTATCACTAACCCTCTTATTGTACAATAACATCATTGTTTACTGCATAGAAATAAAATCTTTGTCTTATATTCCAATATTTATTAGACCTAACATTCTTTTTACGACTCAATCAATTCCACATAATAAGTCGAGGACTTATGAGCATTAATATTCTTGGAAAAAGAATATTCTCTTTTATGATCATGACGTAGGCTGGCCTTTACACCTTTTCATATACTTATTTCATAAGAAACAAAAAATGTTGCTAAATTAAAAGCTTTACCACCCATAAAAAATATATATTACTTTTTTAGCTATGCTCTAACGGCTTAGTTATTTTAACAATGTCAACGAAGATTTCTCACTGGTGGCGCTAATGTTAAAAAGCCGTTAAAAACCAAAAACTGTAACAACCTTTGTAACAACCGTGTAAAGAAATTTGTAAGAGCAAACCTTGGCTCGATCTGTTGCTCAGTTGGTATGGGGGCTCAAGTCCTATCATATTGAAGGAATTTTCCTTTGTGTTCGATCTTTGTATTAATAATTATAACAAACTAGTGGAGTAATATCACAAACATAATTGAATATCATGGCAGTAAAACATTATATATCATTACATTATATCATTATTGATAGGTTGATTGATAAGTTGAGATTATTCTCAACTTAATAAAAAACCTAATATTAATCTAATAAGCCGTAACTATGCCTTATTTGAAAATAAATCAACATGAAATCATCACGATCTCATAATATTAATAACAACCAATTGCATTAACTAAATATCACGAACAAAAGAAACATCTCAAGACTTTTGGTTGCGTAAGCGCCGTAACCAGGATGATCGAAGGCGGATGTTGGCCTCGGATCGGTTTCCAATGACTCACATGCATAGAGAACTCTCCAAATAAAACACAACCTACGGCCGTAAATGCGGTTACACCCAATGTCGTTCAGGTCGTAACTTTACAACCTTAGAACGCATCAAGTCTAGAATTCTAAAACTTGTTTTTGGAACTGTGTTACTTTGCAATAACTTGATCCACGTTTCATTTTTAACCGACTTCTAAAAAGGAGGAGATACTTAATTCGACTGTATGTTTTTTTGTGTGTTTGTTTATGTTACGTGATTTCAGTGATTCTTTTTTTATTGGAAAGGAGGCACTTTAGTAGTGATCTCATTAAAATTAGAAGAAAATATTCTACCTCTATCTCGTTTTCCGTTAACCGATTTCAATAAAACTTGGTGCATAGGTGCAATACTAATGAAAATAAAATGCTATGGTGATCTGATGATGGAAATGATATACAGGTCAGAGGAAAACCTCAACAATGTACAGCAGTTACATTATGTTTGGGTTCATATGATTAGTTTTGAAGAGGACTTCCATACGCTTTACAGTTTTTTTTTGAGGAGACCAAGGCAATGAACGCAGCGAAAGCGGATAATGAAGCTTTTGAGGTTGATTTTTTACAAATTGGCAAATAAACACAATTCCACGAACTTTTGAGGTTGGTTTTTTTTTATAAATTTTTTTTTTTAACATTTTCAAAATAATAGATTGCTTTGTTTTATTTACTGCGACGTGTTAGAGGATTACATTTCTTTGCCTTTCTTTTAGTACCTAGTAGCAGTAGAGCTCCTTGTGCAAGAGTTCGTCCAGGGAAATACTGCCACCTTAACTGGTGGCACTGCAACTACAGGTCCACGTCTTGTTCGTCCCGTCACTTGGTAAAATAAAATAAAAAACCTACAATACTTTTTTGTATTGTAGGTTTCTTTCTTTTTTTACCAAAAATGTTCTTAATCAAAATTCAATCTCCTTATGTATGTTTCATTAGCGATTCCTTTGAAAAGTAAGTGATCATGAAGGATATAAAATTTATATATAGTAATGAAAATTAGTTAATTATTCCCGACTAAATCATTTCAAAGCTCCAGGGCTCTATCCTTTACTTATTAACGATTCGCAGGTGTGTAAGATGTGGCTGTAGCTTAGTTGCTTAAATTATTTATAAGTATATTATACTGTCTGTCGGTACAGTTACCTACACAAAAAGGTAGTAGCTTTAGTGAACCATAAAAAAATACGAACAATTTTCAAAATATATTAATAATTCAAATCGAGTACCACTTTTGCGTCTGCTGCTAGCTGATTTGCGGTATTTTAGATAGAACAAAAAAAATTTTTTTTATTTTTTATTGTGACTCGGCAAAATGACTGCACCGCGCCTGATGGAAAGTGCGAATACAGTCCAGAGATGAGAGTAACGGATGGAAAACACAAATATTTTCACTCCGTCACTATCATTTTGCCAGTCTGGCCAAATGCTTCTTCACACTACGTTTGACAATGAATTGCGTTTAATGACAATAAATTGCGAATTGTCGCCACAGCTTTAACCGGATCTATAAAATCGATTTCGAATGTATAAACTATTTGTCACCATAGTAAATAAGTGATGATTACGTAATTTTATTTTTTTTGTGCCACTATAAAACAAATTCAAGTTCATATTCTTTTCACTTTTAAATTCTTCTAAATTACATACAAGTTACCAAAGAAAAATGAAACAATAATGGTTACAGACTATTCATTTTTGATAAAGTATTTTTTTTTAATTATCTTAAAGTACTTTATTTATTAGACGGTATTTCAATTTGTGATAATTTGTTCGATCGCAATAGACATTTTCTACAAGAAACAACTTCTAAAAATGATTGTAAGGTGAATAACGTATTCTTTTTGTTTTTTTTTCTATTCTGATAATTAGTTTAGCGTCCGATCTTAATCGTAATAGGTTCTTATACCTATATCTACTTTTGAATGCGCATAGTCTTTTTTTATTTACTTCTGATGTCTGTTATTGTGCCATAAATAGAAAATAAAATAAAAAATAAAAGTAGATTTATGTATTTTGTCTAACATATTAATAAGGCCTCATGTGATCACACGATCACAAGTTTTAAAAATAATACGAATTACGAAACAATTTACGTATTTTGTCAATTTTTTTAATTGTGCAATTTAAGCGTAAAAAGTCATTGACTTATTTCGTTCTTAGATCCTTTGAACCTGTCCTGAAAACTTGTAGTTTTGCAGACGTCGCGTTTATCGCCGATAGCATCCGCGATAAACGCGACATCTGTTATCGTTATTTTTTATAATGAAACGAAGATACAAATATACATACACACATACATAACCTTTATTACCTAAAAGACAACAATTATTGTATTGGAACAATTGTGTTAGAGATTTATATTTATTTAAAGAATAAGTGCCCTCTGCCTTTCTTTACAACGCGCTTATAGGGTATCATATAATAAGGACCTAGAATTATGTTATTTAAGATCTTGCGTCTGGATCATAGCTAGTAGAAAGCACTGGTCCTATCCCTATGTGCGTGAAATATAGGCATGAGTGTATGTAGAATTGTTATTTTAGTAAACTTATTTTACCAGAAAATATTTCCATTTACTACTCACTTCACACTACCTTTGCGCTGATAGCCTCAATACTTAGAATAAGTAAAACATGATAAAGCGTTTTTTAGTTGACTGTACATGTACTGACTGTCGTATGTGCACAAAAACACAAACTTTCCTTATATACTTTGAGCGTTTGCTTAAAAAAGATTATACCATTACTAAAGCGAGAAAGCCTGTGTAATCTCCCAGCTGTTACATTTGATATTCTGCCTACTGTACTAATGACCAAACCAGATGTAGTCGTGAGCTCAGTTACGAAATGTTGCCGTAACGATTGCTTATAAAAAGACCACAGGCAAAAAATAAGAATGATAGGAATTTTAGGCTGTTTACGCAATAAGTTAATGTTTTTTTTACAAAAACCATCGTTAGAAGTCGTTTAACGTTACTGAGCACAGAAAGACGGGGCGGATAGAGTTTTTAATTGCATTTGGTATTGTATGTATTTTATGAATGACATATGAAAAATATTTGTATATATACATTACTCTAAGCAACTCTAGGTATTTTTACGTACGCTTACGGTAAAAATTTTAAATATTACATACCGAATTGTCACTATCGACTAGGTATGGTCTTATTTTAAAAACGAAAACCTAAACATTTTATGAAATAATTACCCAAAATATGATATAATACAACTAAATTAGAACTACCATAATCATAAATTTCAATGTAGAGTTTTCAACATAGAACCTGTATTCAGTCGATTCCCTTTATGCCAGTTTTTTTATTATTATAATTATACTTGTGTATTAAAAACGGTTTTCAAAATACTCGGAAACCATGCACGTGGAATATTGAAATAATACTTGTAATGAACAAAAGTAAAAAAAAATACTTACCAATAACTTATGCGACAATCCAATCAGACAGAATAATAAATCACAACAAAAACACAGAGGCAAATTCAGCAAACACCACGGGATGGGGTTCCAAAACAATATAATAAAATAAAATCACCAGGGTCAAACAGAATCGCACAATTCAAACAAAATACAGACGGCGCTACCACAGGTCCACTCGTGTCCAGGTTTCGTGAATGGAACTCGGTGCTGCTCAACGCTTACAGACGTTTCATAATCAATGCGTGAGTATTGTAATATTTACGTAATTTTTTTCAGGCCGTCAGTACACGGCGCGATGTAGTACGACTGAAACCGAGTGAACCAATCCCGGTGAACGCACGGGCCGCACTGGTTGCCCATAACGGCAAAAGGTCGTTCGTTACCCACATTCTCTTTCCGCGCAAGCCTTCCTAAGTTAGAGTGAGACGAAAAACCAACAGCATTACTAAATAACGTGACAGAAAGAGACAGAGGAATCTCAGCCTCAAAGGAAAACCCGAATTCGAGTCTTGATGGTTCCAACATAAGACCGTGCTTTGCCGTTGTGAATTATTTGAAAGGTATTTTGTTGCACAAGCATGTGTGTAAACGGAAATGGTAAAAACAGTTTAATTGTTCTCTCAATAGGTAACAAAGTTTTATGTATGGCATAGCAAAAAGTCTGTTAAGCGGCAGCGCTAAATGTGGGTTTCCGACAACTTGATTTTTTGTTTGCCTCTAGATAGTACCTCATAAAGCGGCGAAATCTATTAGAGTTTTTGCTCGTAATGAAATAATAGGAAATGGTCTTGTTAAAGAAAAACATTTCAATTTATAGAACGCTTAGGACGGCTCTACATTCTGAAAGGGTGTAATTAAAATCGCCTGACTTTGCCAATTTAAATTCACAAGTTCGTACCTTCATTTTAACAAGTATACTTATTTGATAGAGAGGAATTAAACTTGGAAAATTTTAGAACGTTCTCATTAATGAAATATGACTTAATTCTTTGAATACCTCTTTAAGTGGACTCAGTGTCGGAAATCTTAAGAATTAAATTTGATTTTCCATGGTCAAGTATGACTGGATCCACAAAAATAAGATTTCCAAGAAATTTTAATTGTACCTGCTATGCGAAACGGCTTAAGAATCCCAAAAAAACTACCTGGTCCTTATTTTCCTTGTGTTGTGGCACAGATTTTCAAATAACTGTTTTCTTGTTTCTCTTTCTCTTATACAACTTACATTGTTTATGTTGCTAACATATATATGTTAATGTTTAACGTAGTTCGCATAGATTAGTATAAAATTTCGCTTTATTTTTGACCTCTTTTATGCTCTCCTGGTCTCGAGAGCATTATAGTGTACTCTTTGATTATACTCAAAACACTCGAACTACCAATGTCCTTCATTTATAGAGGAACGAATTCAAATTAACGTAATAAATAAATAATAAAAGTCAACCTTTGTGCACAATCTACACCTTAAACCACTCGTGTGTCAAAAGTATTGTTTAGTTGAGAACCAAATACATTTCCGTTATTTGCATTTTCATTCTAAAGCATTTATTCCTTTCTTGGAATCTTTTATCCATTAAAACAATTTTATTTAATAAAAATATTAAGGACTAACTAGTTTAACTAGAAGTAGAGCTCCATGTGAAAGAGTTAGTCCAAGGAAGCACTGCCACCTTAGCTATTTCTGCCGCCAAGCAGTAATGTGAACAGCACTACATTCCAGTTTTGAAGGGTAAGGGAACTGGTGAAATTACAGGCACGTGGCACTAATAAACTTATGTCTCAGGGTGACAGGCGTAGTAGTAGTGTTCCTCAAATCTCTGCGAATTAAAGCATTGAGTGGCATTGAAACTTCTATGGACAGGCGTGTCGCTTACTATCAGGCACAAGGCGTGCTCGTTTCGCTACTAAGTATCATAAAAAAACGGGAGTTACATTAGAAGGACGCAAAAGGTGCTAAAACGCTCGCAATTTGCATCATTGCGTGCCTAACACGAAAGTATGTGTATAAACGAAGAAATAATTGTGTTAAACACAATATTGTCTTTTATCTATTTCCAAATTGGGCGACATTGTAAGTTTTGACGTAACAACTTCATTAGCCAACTAACAATCTCCCCAGGGCCCTTTTTATCCCTCCGAGAGTCTGTTATGTTTACATCTAAGGGCAAAAATAATGTTCCATTATCTTTTGCTAGTACCGCTGTCGAAAAATTAGATTACGATTATAGGAAATCCTTCATCTAAAGCTGACGTATGTAGGAATTCCTTTTTAAGTACCAAAGACTATTTTGTGGCTTACACGGTTCATGTCAAATATAATCATCTTCTTATCGTATCTATGGCATACACTGTAATATTTGCCATCGTGGTAAAAGGATTTGCCAATCGGTGTAAGGTAAAAATGCGGAACACTTTACGATTTTGCGTGTCATCCTTGCGTAGGGCTGCATTGCTGCCTCAATGTGGGAGTGAGAGAGGTTGCAGGTTTTATCATCATATTTTCCTTCATCGTTTAAACATCACGTAATATAATAAAAATAATAATATAATAACGCACTCACTCACAGCCTTGCACTAGAGAAACCTTGTATCGCGGGTGCCATGGACACACACATAGACAACCACAAATTAAACCCAAACTCACAAGAGAAATAAATGTAGGCCATACAAATATTTCTCCCGGCCTTCTAACGGAACCTCTGCGTGGCAGATCAGCGTGGTAACCGAGGTAGTTAGTAAAAACATTATAGAGATTGTGTAAGAAAGTCACTGGTGCAAGAGGAATGGATCCATGATTCCTATATTAACACCAAACGTTCCTTGTCCAAAGGTAAGCTATCACTGTTTACACGGCTGTGTTTCTTTTTCTCCAAACTAAACACGTCATTCCTATTTCATTAAAACAATTAGTAGCAGTAGAGCTTCCTGTGAAAGAGTTCGTCCAGGGTAGTACTGCCAGTTTACCTACTTGTGCCACCAAGCAGTAATGTCAGCATTACTGTGTTTCGGTTTTGAAGGGTAAGGGTGCTGGTGAAACTACAGGCACATGGGACTTGTCAGGGTGACGGACGCATTGGCAGTGCCCCTCAGATTTTTGCGATTTAAAGCTCTGAGTGGCACTGCAACTGTTATGGACAAGCGTGAAGGTTACTATCAAGCGCAAGACTTGTCCGTCTCGTCACTTAATGTTATTAAAAAAAATTACTTTCATTCTACCTTTTTCACACACAATTTTTTTTGGCTTTTCATACAATCGCTATCATCTGCACCAGCAGTTCCATCGATATCAGGAAGAAATAAAAAAAATTCTATGACTTTCCAAACCTGACAGAACAATATAGACTTTCGTGGTTATTAAATGATTAACACTAGTTACTGGTTTCTTACCACGGTATGATTTCTCTTTATATTCCCGATGTTTCGGAACGGTTACACGCTCTATGGTCACGGATTGACTTTCTAGCTAACGTGTGGATCACAGTTCCAGTTTCAGTCAGTGCGCTTTGTCGGAATAGTGTGAGTGTCAATGGTAGCGCTACAAGTAATCGAGATGAAGCTAGTCGTCGACAGCGAAAGAGGGTAGACAAATATGTCTGTTCTTAAAATTGTCACCTAATGCGGGTCAGTCAACCCGTGACTAAGGAACGTGTAACCGTTCCGAAATATCGGGAAAATAAACAGAAATTTACTATGGTAAGAAATCAGTATTATTACTGATAATCATTTATAAAATCCGGATGCAACCGGATTGAAGGAATTTTTTCTTAGTGTTCGATCTTTGTATGAATAAGTGTTACAAACTAGTGGAATAATTTCACAAAAATAATTGAATATCACGATTGTCAAACATCGTGACATTCAATCATCGGGGACATAACCAAAATCATTTATTTACTTTGTTCGAAAACTACTCGTATTCCTCCAAATGACTTCGGTGACAATCCCGAATTCGAAACCTCACATTAGAGTTGGGCAATCAAATATTATATTATCGAAATCGATAGTCAAGATATGGCATTATAATAAATAACTATTGACTTTTTTTTATTTTTGGTTATGTACTCGATGCATTCAATAAACTGAGAAAAAATACAATCATTTACTTATTATTAACTTTATGTTTTAACAATAGGAAAGCTATGTAAGTACAGAATAAATTCAACGTTTTTGCATGTTATTTATTTCATCACGTACATCGATTGTAGACCGTCATTTGAATACGTTTCAGGATTATTCAACATAGTGTTATCGGTATTTTGGAAATAATATTGCATTATAACAAAGATTATATTACATACTCTCGATAGAATTAAATCCCGAAATAGCCTCTGATTATTACCAAATTCTCTTTTTGTTTCAAAATGCAAATGACATGTCGTTGCAACTTTTCATTCTAAAAGTGTTATGATATCGTGTTTCTACTATAATTATGCTACAATTATAATTTACTTAACGGTTAATTCAAGTTTCTCTAAAAATGTTACCCACCACCATAATCAACTCACAAATACAGTCCCACTGCAAAATACGGCTTTCCAGAAAACTCTAAGAAGAGAGTTTAGACCATAGTCCACTACACTAAAGCGGGTAACAATGTTTGTGTTCGAACTATTTTGAACGTATTCAAAATTTGCAAGAACTATAATCATTTTATTTTCGTTCGAGTACACGTGGTATAATAATAATAATAATTGTTTATTGTCAGGCAAAAATTCCATTTTACATAATAAAATGTGGCATAATACAACAGTAATGATATTATACAAGAATAAAATATACGAGTAAAATAAAATTAAACAAAGTACAGTAAAGTAATAAGGTATGACACATACAAGTCTTCGTCTAACCTATATCCTGTTTGCGTCGCGGTGGACGGAACGCCAGTACTTAAAAATTGGACCAGACATATCTGCGGAAATAGCTCTCAGAATACCGTTATCAGAACAACGCAACCTGTCCCAAAAGGAAGCAATACGAGCCCTGACAACAGCAAAGAAGTTAAGTAATCCCTCCACGGCGAACATGTTCCATGCACTGCAGTAACGTGGTAACTTTATAAGAATGCGGAAAGCGTCATTGTATTGCACTCTTAGAGTTCTTAGGCTCGCTTTTTTGAAGACACAACTCACAATTGGCAGGTGTAAAAGCACTGGCAATAAGCCTGAAAAAGCGTTAATTTTACCTCTTTACTACAACTTCGCGCATATACTTCAGCATAACCGTGCACATCAGCATAATGTTCGCAGACTGACAGTAATTTCCTAAGTCCGTTGATCGATGGACTGAGGATCACCATGTCGTCTGCGTAGCTAAGGTTATCTACACAAACACTCGCCAGATGG